AAGGTTTAATTAATTAAAGTTAAGGATTAATTAATTACAGTTAAGGTTTAATTAATTACAGTTAAGGTTTAACTAATTAAAGTTAAGGTTTAATTTATTAAAGTTAAGGTTTAATTAATTAAAGTTAAGGTTTAACTAATTAAAGGTAAGGTTTAATTGATTACAGTTAAGGTTTAACTAATTAAAATTAAGGTTTAACTAATTAAAGTTAAGGTTTAATTAATTAAAGTTAAGGTTTAATTAATTAAAGTTAAGGATTAATTTATTAAAGTTAAGGTTTAACTAATTAAAGTTAAGGTTTGATTAATTAAAGTTAAGGTTTAATTTATTAAAGTCAAGGTTTAACTAATTAAAGTTAAGGTTTAATTTATTAAAGTTAAGGTTTAATTAATTAAAGTTAAGGTTTAATTAACTAAAGTTAAGGTTTAACTAATTAAAGTTAAGGTTTAATTAATTAAAGTTAAGGTTTAATTTATTAAAGTTACATTTACTATAATAATACTCAGTTTTTGTCTATCGTAAAAATCGTGCACAGCTTACTATCTAAATGCGCATGCGCGTGCACTCCATTTCAACGGATGCAAATATACTTTGATACTGGACATTTTATACAACAACATATTAAAAATATCTAACGTTAGGTCGTAGAATAACATAATAAGTTTATTTATTGATAGCATTAAGTACGGTAAACTAAACTAAAGCAAAAATGTACACAACTTACAGTGTTAATTTATCTCTTTATCGAATATAGACCGTACTTAATAAAGGCTTAATTAATGTTAGGCCTAAGAAAAGTTGTCTTATAGATTTTGGTGTCTACGATTAGAATTATTTTGTATTATTCTAGAAATCCTGTATTTAAAGAAGTACTGTTGTAATAAAGATATTAATTTGACAGCAAGTGTTTTGCGGGTCTCTGCTAATCTAGTAATAATGTTTTGATCAGTGGTAACATTCAAACCAGCCAAGCATACATTTATGGTTTGGGAATTTTAATACTTCTAGAAAAGATGATACAACCTTTGGGCTATTTTTGTTTGCAGATATTTATAGTAGTAAGCCGGGCGTTACCTTCTGATAACCGTGCCAGACTGTGAATCTGGTGGTTCATGGTTCGCATCCCATTGATGCCAAAACGTTCTCCGCACTTTGAGGTTGTGGCTTTATTACACAATGGCTATCAGTGCTCTGCCCACCGCTGGTAGCAAAACCCAATTTTTAGCATTATTAGATGTTTGTTTGTTTTTGAATTTCGCGCAAAGCTACAAAAGGGCTA